GAGGTCCGAAGCCTGGCAGGGCCCACTATTTTTATATTTTATGACTGTTATGTGGTATTTTGGGGGAACTCACTAAGTTTTGTTCTTACGGTTTTCAGTTTATGTTTCAGGTACTTCTGGTTCCAAGGGGAAGAGCTCATGATGACTGCATCGCACACACCATTGGGATTTTGTTATGATGTTTCACTCTGATTTATGACATATTGATACACTGGTTTATTACAAATGTTTGGATGATATGGAAGTTTACTATGTTATCTATTATTAAAAATAAAAATTTTTGGGACCATATTTTTGGATGTTACTCACTTAGGTCGTGTATGTTACAAATGGTATCATAGCTATAGTTTAAGCGAATTAGGTTTAGTATGTTCAGACTTAGAATTAAATTATAGGATATGAAAATAAAAAGAGTATTTAGGACCACTATTTGTGATGATCACTTAGGTCAAGTATGTTTATAAGCAGTGTTACTGTACACAACTAATAAATAGAATATGAATTGGTTTCAATTGGGTTTTCTATGCATAAAATACACTCTAAACTATGTAGCGGAAAAAGTGAAAATACGATATACCTAAGTGTACGTGCAACCTATGGATCTATGGTTTCATGCTAATTACATCTACCCTATGAAACATAAAAACACAAAGAAGAAAAACATACCTCTTATGTTACCCTTGATCTCCATGCTAGAGATCTTAATCTTGTCCTCCACGAAGTTGCTTGAATGAGAGGACCCAAACCAGAATCCCTCTAATAGTATCACACCCAATGAAACCAAAGAGTGGAATAAAAATAACTAGGAGAATGGTCAATTTCATAAACCCTAAGAGGGTTAGAAATCATCCCAAAAAGGTGAGGAAGAAGAGTTGGCGAATCTTCAAGCCAAGGTGCAAGAAAAAATGTTGGTTTATTTATTGTATTGTGTCAATTTTTTGTGTGTACGTATTTAGTCTTTTGCTAATGGGTTGGTCCTGTCCATCCCTCTTTATGTTGCTAGGGTTAGCTATTTATAGTGCATGCATGTATTGTTTTAGGGTTAATCGATTGTATTGCCTGACTAAGCTTCTACAGAAAAGTTCATGTTGAAATCTTCTAAAGCTTTGATAATATTAAGCATTCGACATCTTCAATCATTGTTCTTGTTGTTTCATTTAATCTACTGTTTAGAATCTATCGATTTTTAGTTCATTGTTCTTACAATTGGTATCAGAACAGGAGATTGTGTAAATCATACGCTAATCTTTTAGCGTGTTTTGTTAGAGTTTTGAGTTGTTATTGGATTTGTTCTTGTTGTTTTGATCGTTTCTATCGATTACAAACGGAAGATATGAATCATGTTTGTAACCCTAAACTCGATCATTGTTTTACACATCTAATTCTATAACAATTCTTGTGAATCTTGAAATCATGCAACACGAAGATTCTCATACTCTTTCATTCAATATTTTCAGCAGTATCGGGTCTACTACTAGAATCCCAATCCTTTTTCCACAGGATTATGAAGTCTGGGCCTTACACTTTCAAGATTATGTTTTAGGTCTTGAAGAACACGACTCAACCATATGGGAGGCTATAACACAACAGACTTTCTCTTACACATCTACAAGGAAGATCGTCATGACTCAAGCCGACTACAACACAATTCTGGTTGATCATAAAGACACTCCTCAAGATGAAAAAGATAAATTATCATGTAACATCAAGGCAATGAGAATAATAAGGTTTGCTCTTCCACCACATACTTTTTGTCTGGTGAGTGCATGTGAGTCGGCTAAGGAAATCTGGGATAGGTTAAAGGAGATTTATTCAAGCGATGCTGATTTGGAACACTCGGTTCTTAACAAGCGTCACATTACAACAAACCAAACCATAAAACCACTATTCCCTTTCATTTTCTTCTCCAACCACCGACAACCAAAGTACCAAATCAGACGGAGATTTTGTAGCTAAGTTGTACACATCAGTCTTTGTTTGTTTGATTGATGTTCTTAAAATAGGCATTGATCATTTAGGACTTGATTCAACATAAGTCTTAGGGTGTTTGGGATTGCTTATTTAGCTTAATAAGATTTTTTGATCAAAATGCTTATTAGTTTATGTGGTGCAAAATGAAGTTTCTAATAAAAGTGGTTTGATTAGCGTATCCGGTGGCAAAAAGCTATAAGTAGATAATTGTTTTTCTAAAAATGTTTGAATTAATTTATAATATATGTAAAATGACCAAAAAGGATATCGTGAAGGTTGTGAAATTGTTAAATGGAGGAAAACTATGAACGATAAGGGTAAATAGATTTGGTGCTATTATTGTCCTTTTAGTTTAGTAGGCTATAAGCCGTTTCAAAAAGTCAGGTAAGCTTGAGTTATGAAAAATAACTTTTAGAGGGTGGTAAAAGCCATTTTCAAAAGTGCTTATTAGCTCTGTAAACATTTTTGCAAACTAATTGAATTTTTGAAAAACTAATAAATCAATAAACCATTTTCAAACTCAATCCCAAACACCACCTTAAAGGTGTTGTAGCTTATTCTAATGTGATAACTTTTTGGTATCTGGAAGAGATCAAGAGACGAAGGTTAAGTTGATTAATTTGTTTATAGCTTATGTGAAAGCTAATTCTCTATAGCTTTTCTAGAGAAGATTCTCCATCTAGTGTGTACTTAATTTGAGGACTTCAGTAACATAAAAGAGTTAGCTTCAATAAAATTTGGAGAGAGGACTTCGATCATGAGAGTAGGAACAAAAAGAAAAAAAAAAGATGATGGAGGTGGTGGTGGTGTAGGAGGGAAAGAGATAGGCCAACCCAAAGATTTCGAAGGGTCTGTGCAATTTAACAAAAATGGACCATAAATCTTAAAAGATCTAAAAATTTAAGTTATAAATATGAAAATCATTGGTGTCATAGAGTCTGGACGATTCACTAGCCATCAGTAATAAACTAATAATCAAGAATGACTAGCCATCAGTAACTAATAATCAAGAATGACGTGTTGTGAGTGTTTTTTAATTTTGATTTAAATTATAAATATGAAAATAAAAAGTTAAACATATTAGCAAAAGTAAATAGTCAATTTGTTAAAAATACAAGATTTGATCTATCAACATTTTAAAGATTAGGTCAAAGATGCATTCTGACCTAACCAGAGGGACTAAAACAGTGATTTACTTATAAGGCTGGAAGGAGTGGTGCCATCGAAACCGCACTCCCTCCCCCGCCACGTAAGCGCCATGTCACTTTTTACCACTCAAGTGTGGTTTCTTGCCACACTTTTACTTTTATTTTTCTTTTGTTTTTTTTTTTTGTTAACTATTTTAATTTAATAAAACTTATTTTTTTAATTTTAAAAACATAATATTTAATTAATTAAAAATACAAATACCATAAATTACTTAATTAAAAAAAACCTAAAAATTTAGAAAAACAAAGTGGAAACATAAAACCTACAACTTAAAAAAAACATACAAGAAACCATTAAAAACTTGAAAAAAAAAACTAAAAATTAGCCACGATTGATGTAACGGTTTTTCACTTCCTCCTTCATCGCCAAAACCACTTCAAGCTCGGCCCCGGTCATATTCGATGTGTCCATCGCTAGTATTCGCATGACGCTCTCCCTTTGTTTCCAAAGCTCTCTTTCAGAAGCAATTTTCAAAATCTTGTCCATTCTGTCTTTTATACCCTTCATGTCGGTTCCCGTTTCTTTCAAATCATCTGAATCCGACGCTTTGCCTTTGCCTTTGCTTTTTGATTTGTCTCTTCCCAATGGTCGGGAAGGTGGTGAAACTGGAACAGGTTCATCTTCTTTCAGGTCAAATTGAACACGAGCATCTGATGCAGTGTGGTCGGGCTCAGGTGTTCTGCTGCGTTTTGACCCACTGTCGATATGTTGGTCAGATGTTTTGCTACTCAGCCATTTCCTGTTATCTTTCAAAAAAATTCCAAACTTCAAGAAACTTGAAAGCCTTCAGATTTTCTTTTTGATACACTTTCAACGCTTTCTTCAAAATGACTTCATCGCTTTCTCCACTTTTCCATTGACGTTTCATGTTGTTCCACAAGTCATTAAACAACATGACTTCCTTGTTCATCTTCCCCCATTTGGAGTACACTTGATGTTTTGAACGGTATTCTCCACGGTTTATTCCTTTATGGAACCTGTGTAAAACGCGAATCCAAAAGCGGTCATGCTTTTGGTCTTTTCCAACCGTCGCATCTTTTGAAATATCGATCAAAGATTGTGCCAACACTAACGCTTCCAAAGGTTCCCAACATCTAGCCTCCGCCTTCTCTTTTCTTTTAGTTGCTGCGCGAGTAGGCTGAGTTTCCGTAACAAATTCCGGTTCGGAATCAGAAACGACCGTTTCTGGTTGTGTTTGTGTTTGTTGAACAAACTCGGGTTGGGACAAAAAATCAAATTGATTAAAATTCGGGTCGGGTTGTGGTAGTGGTGGTGTTTGTGGATGTGGTTGCCCTAGTCGTTGTGGAAAACAAGGAAACATACCGCCGTAGTGGTAATACGGAGGTGAGAAAATTGGTTGATCAAATGAAGGTATTAGGGTGTTGGTGTTTGACTGGTGTTTTTTCTTTGCTAGGTCTTTTGGAAGAAGACATTCTTTCAAAGAAAATTGGATGAAATGATTGTGTTTATATGTGTTTAGGTTGTGCAAATGTAAAAATTGTAACATATATATATGTATATATATATATATATATATATATATATATATATATGGAGTAATTGGGTAAAAAAAATAAAAAATAAAAAATAAATACAAAGAATCTTTGAACGGTCAAAAGAAAAAGGCACAATCAATCAGCACACGCGGTCTTCAATGGCCGCATTGCGGTCTCGACCGCAACAAACCGCACCCTGAAGGCGGTGTTTGCGGCCCACGTGGCATCACCGGTTCCAAACCACATACCACACCGACCAGCCTAAAAGCATCAACTAGATGTAACAGCACTTTTTCCATGGTAAAAGAAGTTAAAAAAAACATTTGATACGTGAGTCGTCTACCTCCTTTCCAAAGATCTTTCCTTTATCAGGTTTTGACGTTTTGTGCGTTCAAAATCGGGTCCGTTGGGGTAAAAAATCAAATCATCATCCACAAGTTTTTAGGGGATTGCAAGAAACCATTTATCCAAATCTTCTCTCCCCTTAAATCTTTACAAATAAGCCGTCATCCCATTAGTTAAACCTCAAAAAAGATCGGCATTTTCATTTCCTTTATCTGGCTTCTTGAATCTTGATAATCACCCAATATTGTTTTCAACTTTGGGAATCAACAATCGGTTGAATACCCAGGCGGGTGTGGTCTTCATTTGAAAAGAAAACAAGCAAACGCGTCGAAGTCCAGAATCCTGCCTGGGGTTTTCTTTTGCACACCTTCTGCTCGATCATTTGCCCGTGTGAAGTTTTTTGTTATAATTCATCGCAACAAAGTTTCGGTATTCTTTGCTTGACAAAATTAGCAACGAGATTAGGGTTCTTCAGAGAAAAGATGACGATTGACTTGGTACCAGGGAGTTCAGGGTTAATCGACGCCGGTGGTGACAAGAAAATCACATATTTTAGCAACAAATACGTGCTGGGCTTGACTGTAATTGCCGGCATTGGTGGTCTCCTTTTCGGTTACGACACAGGTATTCACTTTTTTTCATAAACATCGCATATATGTATCGTATCTATATCTATGTTGATTTTGATTCTTATGCAAATTTTCTTGTTCAAATTGAATTAGCCATATGATTGTATATTCTACGCTTTAGTCGAAAAGCTGTTACTTTTTCAAAATTCAGCAGATGCTATCGCAGAATCCATATAGTAAGATTAGTGTCAAACCCTTTAACCAAATTGCCCCCTTTACACTTCCATCGACGCGATACATATTCTTTTTTCGGTAGTGTTTCCAAGACGTGAAAAGACAAAAACACCCCTAACAGGATTCATCAAACTCACTTTTGTTAAGATCCCCTTTCCACATCTCTTTCAGGAGTCATATCAGGAGCCCTTCTATACATCCGTGATGATTTTGAAGCAGTCGATCAAAGCAGTGTCTTACAGGTACAAAAAAGTTCACTTCCCATCTTCTTAATCGGTGGCATCTAGAAGCACAAAGTCTCAACAACCTCGACTTTACCAATGTGATTTACCAAAAAGCCCTTCCCTTTAAACCTTTCTCAAATCTTCAACTTTCTAAATTCCATTTACATAACAGGAGACAATTGTTAGCATGGCTTTACTTGGTGCCATAATCGGAGCTGCAACTGGTGGGTGGATAAATGACACACATGGGCGAAAAAGTGCTACACTTATTGCTGACGTCATCTTTGCAGTTGGATCTTTTGTGATGGCTAGTGCCCCTGATCCATATGTGCTTATATTTGGTCGATTATTGGTTGGAATTGGTGTTGGAATTGCTTCTGTTACAGCTCCAATGTATATTGCTGAAGCTGCACCTTCAGAAATAAGAGGAGGGCTTGTGAGCACCAATGTGCTTATGATCACTGGTGGACAATTTCTTTCATATCTTGTTAATCTTGGCTTCACACAGGTTAAAAAGATTCGTATTTTAATCTTTTCTCATAAAGCTTACACCTTTATTAGATTAATCGTATCTTTTTATCAAGGGTGATTTACATTTACCTTTCTCAAGCTTGTGTAATTTGAGAGAGGTGACATATTTGTTAAAACAAATGGTAAGTAATTATAGAAACTACAGAGACCCACACTGTAATTTAGTCTTCTTATAAAGAATATCAAAACCGGGACCTAAAGTGCTGAAAATGGCAAACTGTAGGGAGTTAGGGACCAAAAGTGTAAGTCTCTCATTTCTTGCAAATTCAAAACTAGACTGACCAAAAGTAATATCGGAAAAGCAACACTATAGGGACCAAAAATATAATTCATGCAAAGTAAAAACTTCAGGGACCAAAAGTGTAATTCCAGAAAATTGAAACTGTAGGGACCAAAAGTGATTTTTGCTTATTTCTTTTTTTGCAAATTAGAAAGTACATGGTCCAAAAGTGTAATTCCACAAATTTAAAACTACAGGGACTAGAAATGTAATTCCAGAAAATTAAAACTATAGGGACCAAAAGTGTTTTTTTCTTATTTCCTTCATACAAATTAAAAAAAAAGCACATGGAACAAAATTGTAGTTCTACAAATTTAAAACTACAGGGACTAGAAATGTAATTTATGCAAAATAAAAACTACAGGAACCAAAAGTGTCATTTGCTTATTTCCTTCTTGCAAATTAAAAAGCACATGGTTCAAAAGTGTAATTCCACAAATTTAAAACTACAGGGACTAGAAATGTAATTCCAGAAAATTAAAACTATAGGGACCAAAAGTGTTTTTTTTTTCTTATTTCCTTCATACAAATTAAAAAAGCACATGGAACAAAAGTGTAGTTCCACAAATTTAAAACTACAGGGACTAGAAATGTAATTTATGCAAAATAAAACTACCGGAACCAAAAGTGTCATTTGCTTATTTCCTTCTTGCAAATTAAAAATCACATGGACCAAAAGTGTAATTCCACAAATCTAAAACTACAGGGACTAGAAATGTAATTTATGCAAATTCAAAACTACAAGGAGCATAAGTTTCTTTTGCTTACTTCCTTGAAATTTAAAAAGTACATGGTCCAAAAGTGTAATGCCACAATTTAAAAGTATAGGGACTACTGACTAGAAATGTAGTTTATGCAAAATAAAAACTACAGGGACCAAAAGTGTCTTTAGAAAAAGACACTTTTGGTCCCTGTAGTTTTTATTTTGCACAAATTACATTTCTAATCACTAGTCAATTCCACAAATTTAAAACTACAGGGACTAAAAAAGTAATTTATGCAAATTAACTTATTCGAATAATTCTCGACAGGTTCGTGGGACATGGCGATGGATGCTTGGAATTGCTGCCATTCCTGCCATCCTTCAGTTTTCTTTGATGTTGCTTTTACCCGAATCACCTCGTTGGCTATACAAAAACGTAAGATATTTTGTATTCTAGTGTGTGTGTGTGTGTGTGTTTGTATGTATATATATGTAATATGTTGAATTAAATTGTTGTGTTATGTAGAGAAGTAGTTCAGAGGCAATTGCCATGTTGTCAAAGATTTATGATCCTGATCGATTACAAGATGAACTCCAACAGCTTTCTGCTGCCTTAGATGAAGAACGCCGAAACAGGAATTCTGTGAGATATCGTGATGTGTTTAAAATCAAAGAAATCAGACTTGCGTTTGTGGCTGGAGCTGGTTTACAGGTAAAAAGTAAAAACAGCCCTTATATTTATTAGCTTTTTACATATTTGACCTGTGTATTTTTTACAATAACTAAGTTATTTTTGGTCCTGTATAGTTTTTGGTGCCTTTTTTTATTTGTTAACAATGGGCACCAAAATTGTAAGATGAAACTGTTTGGGACCAAGACTACAATTTTTGAGCAAACTTAGGGACCAAAAATGTAATTTTCTGTAAATTGCATTTGTAGACAAATTCAAACAAAAATAAATTATTTGTTTATATTTAATTATCATATTATTAAAATAACCATTGTTTTAATATATTAAATGATCCAAGTACTAAATTATAAGAATAACCACTATATGACCGTGGATATAACAAATTAACAAATTTTCAGAATTTTTATTTAGCAGTCAATTGCGAAATTGCTGATAATTTGCGGGATGATGTCATTTCCCAAAAAAACAGGAATTTTTTTTGGTAGCTTTATGTCCGTTTGTAAGTACTAATATGTTATACGGGTTTGATTAAACAAAAATTAAATATAAAAGTTTAAACAAAAATTTATTTAAATTTGAAATTTAAAATTTAAAAGGAAATATATTAAATACTATATGAGTACTAATATTGTAATTTATTGATTATTTTCAATTAAGGCAATTATTAATTGAGGTATAAATATGATGTGTTAATTAAGAAAAGATTAAAAAAAATAATAATAAGAAAATGACAAATGGAAAAAACAGTTAATCAAAAATACCAAAAAATGACATATGATCAAGTTAATAAGAGAGTGATATGTGACAAAATTATTTTCATTTATTATGGAGGATAAAGTAATATAAATTTAATTTATAATAGTGCATCACAAGTAACAAAAATATTACATATTGATCATAAACTAAAAATGCACAACTTCAAAGTTGAAAGACCAAATTGTACGAAAAGGAAACTTTAACACCAAATATTTTTATGTAAATAAATAGTACAACACGGTATTTGATGGTTTACACTACGACATTCTGATTTACCTTTCTCATGTTTTACTGTGTAATTCGTTTAGGGTTTAGGGTTTAGGGTTTTGGTCAGAAACAAATAAAACATTCAATGTAACAACTTTTTTACTTTCCAGGCATTTCAACAATTCACCGGAATCAACACTGTGATGTACTACGGTCCAACCATAGTCCAAATGGCTGGATTCGGATCAAACCAATTAGCCCTCCAACTCTCTCTCATAGTTGCATTAATGAATGCCGCCGGAACAATCGTCGGAATCTACCTCATCGACCACGTCGGCCGCCGGAAACTCGCGCTCAGCAGCCTAATAGGGGTAATTCTGTCATTAATCCTTCTCGCGGTTGCGTTCTTCCTTGAATCATCCGGACACGCCAACATGGGATGGGTTGCGGTTCTTGGATTAGTGCTTTATATTTCCGCTTTTGCCCCTGGGATGGGGCCGGTTCCGTGGACAGTGAATTCCGAGATATATTCGGAATCATATCGCGGGATTTGTGGCGGAATGTCGGCTACGGTGAATTGGGTGTCGAATTTGATTGTTGCTCAGAGCTTTCTTTCGATTGCGGATGCGGTTGGAATTGGGATGACTTTTTTGATTTTGGCAGGAATTGCGGTGGTGGCGGTGGGTTTTGTGGTGGTGTTTGTGCCGGAGACTAAAGGGTTGACTTTTGAGGAGGTGGAGAAGTTGTGGAGGGAAAGGGCTTGGGGATGTGGTAATAATGGTAATGGAACAGAATCCCTACTTGAAGATGATGAGGCATAGTTTTTGTTGATGTGTTAAAAGAATATATATATATATATATATATATATATATATATATATATATATATATATATATATATATATATATTATATATATATATATATATATATATATATATATATCATAGCGATGGTTATTGGTTAATAGGAATGATGATGAGTCTAAACTTTAGGGTTTAGTTTTGGATGTGTTTTAAGATGATTATTCGAAGATTAAATTTAGCGGCAATAGATAAATGAAGCTATGGGTAGTAATTTAATTGAGTAAATTATAATTTTGGTGTTTTTTTTTGTGTGTGTGTGTGGGGAGATGATAGCCCATACACGATGGCCTAACGTGTTTATTTACACACCATCTTATCCGAAATAAGATATTTTGGTCTAGGATTTAGGATTTTGGAGAAGTATTTATTGAATTTTGTTTTTCAAGGTAAGCAATTGTGTATATTTTAGAAAAATATACAAAAACTTGCCAACTTGAACTGATGGGAACGATACATAAAAATTTGCCAACTTGTTGTATATAATATTGTTTCATCAGATAAAAATAAAATATTAAATCTAAATTTAATAATATTTAGTTTTGTTTTGTAATATGTTGATTTTATTTAATGCTATTGTTATATACTTACTAAATTTATAAATATTACAAATGAGAAATCAAATGGTTAACAAAAAGGGGTGTGGTGGGGACAACTACCAAAACGGTATGTTTGGTCCTTATGATTTCAATTTATTTTTCAGTTTATTTTAAATAACTTTTTTTACCTGTCATTAAATTATTTTGTTTATTTATTTTAATTAAATAAAAACTCATTAATTATATCCCACATTTCTTCATCCCCTCTGACTATAACCATCGACATCATCTTCAACTCATCACCAACATCTTCAAACCAAGTCGCCTATTTCACCCCAACAACACAGGATCTCGATTTCAATCAGTGTTTATTTTTGAATTCAGAAAGATTCAGAACCATCAAAACAATAGATATCAACTGATCTCGATTTCTCCATGGTGTTAGTTGAATTGGGGCCAAAACGATTTAGGAAAATACACAATCATTAATAACCTTTTCTTGAAGCTCTTCTTAAATCGATAGCAAAACGGATGTTTGAAGAATGGTCACCAGTAATGGAGGTAGTGAAAGATCTTTTTTGTTTTTGTTTGATTTTTAGGATCACTTAGTTGTTGATTGTGATCAAAGTATAATGGGAGTGTTCTAATTTTGAAGTTTTATGTATAAATAGCAAAAATGTGGTCTTGTGGCATTCATATGCTCGTCTCTAATGTAATTTATTTGATTTCTATAGATAACAAAATGAAATTTTGATTGTTGATCTTGTTTTTGTTACGCATGTAACCGTTTGATAGAGTTATCACACAATGATGTATCATAAAATTTTGCCCATATTATATATGCTTAGAAGATAAAAAAATAGATATTTTATTTTTATTTTTATTTTTCATGATGAGGAGGAATAACAAATTAGATCACGTTGCTTTATAAAATATTTCACAAAGTAATGTGTAAAATAGTCGAGTTAAGAGAAAAAAAAAAAAAAACTTTGAAAAGTGATAATGATCGAAGAAAATTGAAGTCCAAAATTAAAACTTGTTTACGAAAAAACATGAATTTCGGTAAAAATAACATTTTGACCCATTCTTTCCGATTTACCGGTTTCATTAATGATTTGGTTTAATTAAAATCTCATTATTTCATCATAATTTACGAATAAGTCTCAAATTAAAATTAAGTGATGATTTGACTATTTTCTTTCTATAACATACATTTTACCAGTTTAATTGTTAATATGGATGTTTATTCATTAAATGAGTTGATGAGATGGATATGTTAGATTAGATAATGCTATGTTCACCATAAACTTGATATCATGATGTATTTTATATTTTTTGGAATATAAAATGCATCTAACGAAGACTGCAATAATTACATAAACTAGCAAAAACTTCGTCATTTTTTGAAGTTTATAAGAAAAATCAAATTGTCTATCTAATAAGAAATCTTATGTAATATTACATATTAATCACATTAACTCATTTCCCGTCCCTTTTCTCAAGAACACACATTTTACCGATTTCATTATTGATCTGCATACATAATTATAAAGAGTGTTGTAAAACTCGGTCAACTCGGGCAATTAATCGAACTCGGCCTCTTACTGAGGCGAGTTAAGCCAATTCGGCCAAATAACTCGAAAATCGTCAAAATCGGTAAAACTTAGACCAAATCGGTCAACTCGGGAGAGTACTTGGCTAAACTCGGTCAAAGGTTCAAGACTATCTTAAAAAGAGAAAAAAAACCAAAGAATTTCAAGGTTAATATGTATAATACACTTAAAGATTTATTATTTAACATATGATTATTACTATATATATATATATATATATATATATATATATATATATATATATATATATATATATATATATATATATATATATAGATATATATATATCTAAAATTTTCAGTAATTATTCACGAAACGATACCATTATGTGTATTTCAGTTTTTGGGTAATCACGTATATCTAATTTTGTTATATATTTTAATTATCTTATGATTTTGAGATATATAAATTCCCTAAAAATATTTTTTACATGAATTACCTAATCTGAGTACTTGCTACTCGGTAGTTGGCCGAACGAATACCGAGTAACAAGTTCTACAACCTTGGTCATAAATGAACCAATGAGATGGATATCGAGTTTTACGGTAAACGTAACATTATATAACTCATCGTATCTATCTTATCATCTCATTTAATGACTAGGTGTCCATGTTAACAATAAATCGACAAAATGTATGTTATATTGAGAAAAATATCAAATCATCACTTAATTTTAGTTTTGGAGTTTATTCGTATATTAGGGTAAAATAATTGGACTTTAATAGAATCATATTAGCAATGAAACCGGGAAAAAATGCCAAATTGTCATCATTACCGATAATTTATGTTTTTTCGTAAATAAATTTTAGTTTGAAACTTATTTAAAATATTAAGAATTTATTTTTTTTTTCATGATAAAATACTAGAAAAGATGAAAACACAAAAGCTAAAATGAGATCCCTTGATGGTAATTTAATAAGTTTCTAATTAAATAATATTCCCAAGTTACACCATGGTTTAAAGTTAGAATTCTGTTAAAAAGGAGACAAAAAATAAAGAATTTCCCACTCTAAGAGCTAACTATGCCTAACGCATGCCCACTACAAAACTCTAAGTGCTAATTATGCCTAACGTATGCCCATTACAGAATGTAAAAACTTGTGTCACTTTGAGCATTCAACAATGGGCCTTGTGAAAATGGGCCTTTGCTAATTTAATTTATAAAAAACGCAACAAAATTTATAAACTCTTTCACATAACTAGTGACGTCAAAAAAAAAAAAAAAAAAAAAAAACCCTCTGGAACCTGAATCTATGGAACACCGATTCCGCATGGGAATATTTGTTAAAAGAAATCGGGATGAGGGTGAGGACAGAAACATGGTTAATTCACGTTTTAAATTTGTGGGCCAGGGTGGGGCGGAGTGGGCAGTCTCGTCCTAAAACCTCAATGGGACCTGTTAATATATTATTTATATTAATATATATTAGTTATACGGACATAATAAATAATAGAAATGATTTTAAGCTTCCAAAATTCAAATAAATATCATGTTTTTAAGTTTTTAAGTTGTTAGCATAAACTTTTTGAGATATTATAACATTTTTCTTTTTACACATGTAAAATTATGATATAAATAAATAATTTTTTTACCTAAAAATAGTTTCTTTTAACCTAAAATAAGTTATATTAGCCCAAAAAAAATCTTCAAACCCAAAAAGGAGGAGAAACAGGGTAATCCAGGAATTCGGGGGCGAGGATGGGGTAAGGAGGCTAGAGATTTCGGGGGTGGGGGCAGGGCGGGGAGAGGGTGAGGGCGAGGGAACAGAGGAATTTCAGGTGTGGGGGCTGGGGATGCAACTCCGGTCCTGTTTGCCTCTGTTGACCTACACATAACTCATTTTTTTTTCTTTTAAATATTGTTATTAAAAACTCAATAATTTTTTAATTTTTATTTTATTATAAAAGCACTTATAATTTATAATATTTTCTTATTTAACTCGCATTTTTACAAATTCTCACCTAATATTCACGTCTTGTTAGATGTCATATTTAACACCTTATACAACTGTTATATAAAAAAAATTAAAATATTAATATAATTTTTTTTTGAAACAGCAAACTAACTAATCTAGTCCTAAATAACCACCTATGTTTCCATAGAGACTTGAACCACTGACCTCTCATATGAGATGGTCACTCCATACCGTTAGGCCATTGGCCATTTGGTAAAATAATAATATAATTGATACCCAAATCAATCACTTTCCTATATCTTTGTTATCAAGAAAATATCTATTAAACCATTTTCATTAGGCTCATTTGCAACCTCCTTCGATACCTATGAAGGTAGTAATGTTGATGTTGATCCAATGACTATTTTCCTTTTAATAGTAGATTTTCAAAGGCTTTGCTCTTGAATTAGAAAATCACATGTTATTCCAAAACTTACAATCTTAATTTTGGTGTTGTTCTTGGAGGTATGATCCTAAACCTGGTTGGGAGATAAAGAAATTCTTAGAGATGTTGATTTGCATGAAAGACATAAAGCTAATAGAGGTTGGGATTGTAGGGATTGGTCTTTAAATCCCTCAAGCCGTGTTTCAATTTTCTCGCATAGAAAGATTATTGAGCAAAGTGTCTTACTCTAATCATGAATTATAAGGTGTATTGGAATTCTTTTGCTAATTGTTTTTGTCTTTGAGGATTGCAAACATTTATCTTCCTTCGAGAGTTAGTGTTAATCTATGTGTGATCATTCTCCACTACATTTGATGTCTCATTCGTGATAATGATATCTCTTTCTCTCATGCTTCATGGCTAGTTACATGTGGAGGATATTTGCAAGTGATGGAATAATAGTCTTTATTCCTCAAACATCAATTTGTTCACGACTATAACATTCGTTTCAAATGAGAGTTCTGAAAAAGCACTGCCTTGATGGTGTGATCCAAACAACTTTTTGGTCTATTTGGTATTTGATGCCTCAGTGGTTTGGTAATGTTGATATTTTCAAGCAAAAATGTATGGTACAAACATTTTT